CAAGAGGGGATCAGGGAGTCAGCTTCAGCAGACCAGACTTTGGTGGGTCCCAATCTTCAGGCCCCTGTGCTGATTGCTAGGAATCCTGAGTGGTGTAAATGGCCAACATGCTCCACTGCTGTCCAAAAGGATGGAGGTTTGAGTCCACTCATCTGGTGGAGAAGGAAGAATGCCAACACTGAATCCCTACCACCAAGTAAGCCCTCCTGGAATGGTCTCATCCCATGTCATTGTCTCACTCACATACATAGCTCACACCAAAATCTCATATGGTCCCAATCGTGATGAACAAAGGGGCTCAAAAAAGCTCATTTGCCCACAACCATTCACATAGTGGGTGGGTAACAGAGCTAAAATTCAAGACATGGAAGTCTCCCTTCCTGCCTCCTCCCCGAGTTAAATAGGCCAATGCCCTACCATTTGGGGGTGCCTTCACTGTGATCACCTGTGTTCCTCAGGCTAAGGATAGTGAGTGCTTACCAAATGGGCAGCCCATGGGGACTCAATGGAGAATTTGTTAGTCCTCTTTATGAAGTAGGGACCCAGCTTCTCTAGTCTCCATGAAGAGGGCATTGTCTTAGGAAAGCTCTGTGCACCTTGCCCAGATCCTCTCTAAGGGTGCTAATGAGGTAGAGGAAACCCTGCTGAGAAGAGGGCCTGTGTAGTGTCTTGGCATCAGCTTCCTGCTACCAAACAGCCTTTTCCTCCAACTACCTGTTCTACGGTGATGCATTTTAGGGAAATTGCCTTTTCTGTGTTTGAAAGTCAAGAGCAAGGCCTCCCATCACTCTCTAGCTACAAGATGGCTTTTCACTTCCAGGCACCAACTATGATAATTAGGCACAGCTTCCATTTACTGGGAGTCCCAGTGTGGTGCACATGGGTAACCTTATAAAGTTAGAGGTTCAAGTCCACCCGGAGGTGCCTCAGAAGAAAAACCTGTCAATCTGTTTCTGAAACACAACTGTTGAAAACCTTGTGGAGCACAGTTCTTCTCTGACATGCATGGGTTGCCATGTGTCTGAATCAACTTGATGGCATTTGGATTTGGTCCCCCTGGCGGACCATATGGTGATCCTACCAGGTGATTTCAGTTAATGTTCAAGGAGTCCATCCTTCCTTTTGTAAGGGGGCTAACAAATTCTAGTGATAAAAATAATATAAAAACTCATAGTGATAATAGTAATAATGAATGCTGACACTCTGGTAGCATAGTGGTTAAGAATCGGGCTGCAAACCTTAAGGTCAACAGTTCGAAACCATCAGCTGTTCCTCAGGAGGAAGATGAGGTTTTCTGCTCCCCTAAAGATTTACAGCCTCGGAAACCCAGTACAGGGTCACTATGAGTCAGAACTGACTCCACAGCACATAGCTACCACCACCAAATGGCCAGCTCCATGTGAAACACTTCCAGAGTATCAATCTCATGTATCTGAAGGACAATTGAGTCCTTATTTAAGCAGATGCAAAGACTAAGGCGTAGCCCCTAAGTAGCCTGTCTAGGATGACACAGCTAGTAAGTGAATATTCAGGGATTAGAACCAGCTTTCAAATCATGCTTTTAGCCCATACACTGGCTTGCCTTGTCAGTGCTCTGGATTCCTTGGTGTAAGGCTCTTAGGCATCCAAGCATAATAGTGAATCTATGACAAGTTCTTGCCCTCCTGGGACATGCAGTTCTGAATCAATTCAGGCATATCTTTTCTTCATGCTCACACTAGGGAAACTGTGCATAGTGTTAGAAATGCACTATCCTCGGTCATCAAAAAGCTCTATGATGAATAAAAATGGAACAAATGTTAAGCCAAGGGGGTTCAAGTTGATTTCAACTCATAGCTATTCTATGTGACCGAGTGGAGTGGCCCAATAGGGTTTTCTAGGCTATAAACTTTGTGGGAGTCCTAGTGGTAAGAATGGGTTGGGTATTGGGCTGTTAACCACAGGGTCAGCGGTTCAAATCCACCAGTCGCTCCGAGGGAGAAAGATGAAGCCTTCTGCTTCTGTGGAGATTTATAGCCTCAGAAACCCTATGCAGGGTGACTATGAGTCGGAAATGACTCCATGGCACACCACAACAGCAGTCTTTACAGGAGCATGTCTTTTTCCCGTGGTTCTTTTGGATGGTTTTGACCCACCAACCCTTTGGTTAGCAGTTAAGAACTTAATGGATGTGGCACCAGAGCTTCTTCTCAGTGTACTCTTGTGCGCTGCTGGATTGCTAACGGCAAGGTTGGCTTTTCAAACCCACCAACCACTTCTTGGAAACCCTATACAGAGTCACTATGAGTCTGAACCAACTCTCCGGTACTTAACAACATCTTTTCCCCTGCCTGCTTGTATCTAAGGGTGTGGGAAATGGTACATCGCTTTATTCCAAAATGCTCCCCTGACTCCTTCACCTGAGATGAAAGGGTTAAACCCAGGTTTGCTGGCAATACTATTCTAATTCAGGATTATGATAGCTGCAGAGAGAGGCCATGCTGTCCCCTTGACCTCCCTGGTCAGGAGAGCAATGGTGGTTCTTCTGAGTAAGACCCATCCTGGTCCACTTACCTGGAAACTGTCAGGTGGGAAAATAGGAGTCTGTCTTTGCCTGGAGGATCTGAGTACTCGTTGGGTGGTTTCCTCAGACCAAGGTGGTATTGTGAACAAGGAGGTGGGCAGTTAGTCTGGGACAGGCAGCATCCCACACTGTACCTGTTCGCTCCCTGCCCCTCGGGAGAAAGGCCAGCTGCCCTCTCCAGAAGTTGCCTGCTCTGCTGAGCTCGGCTGTGATCTGTGACGGTGTCATGCTCATCCTCACTCAGTGTGGTACTTGGTGATGCCTCCAAGCTCCTAAAGGGCCCTGGTTTCCTAATCAGCAGACAAACCAGCTTTGTCTGCCAGGAACCAGAGCCGGCAGCTGATGGGGAAAAAATAATAAACACTGGGCCCAAAAGCTGGTTTAAACTGCAAGGTCAGCGGTTCAGATCTAACAGCCACTCCTTGGAAACCCTATGCAGGGTCCCTGTGAATTGGAACCAACTTGATGGCACTAATCAACAACAGCATACGTATATTAACAGCCCTGAGTGTAGAGAGCAGAAAGGAAACAGCTAAGTTAGAAAAGGCTTAAAAACCAAGGGAGCAAGGCCAATCTTGGCAGCATCTGGCCAGCTGCCTGGGGGCCCTCCTGCCTGCCCACCAGGTCTTGTGACAAATGCCCTCTGACAGCCAGGGAGCCACAGCTGTCACCGGAAGACTTGGCATGAGAGGGCTGCCAGCCAGAGGCCCACGGCTGCAGGGGCGGCTCTCCAGGCTGGTAACCTCATTATCTCTGCTGTGGAGCTGGAGCCCCGGGGAGCACAGCTGCTCTCAGGAGCTGCCTGCTCAGGAAGCAGTGCAAAGGAAAGCTTCAGCTGCTAAAGGAGGCTTCACAGGGCAGCAGGCCTGGGGACTCAGGTTCACATCACTGCAGTAAAGCTCTCCTTGTTCCAAAGCCATGCCTGGGCCCTGCCGGGGTTCATAAGCACAGATGGTGCCTTTATTTTAGCAGCTCTTTTTTTTTTTTTTTTAACCTCTGATCTCAAAGCAGAGTTTGGTGCAAATAACGAGCACACGCACACACACAATTATGGTCTGCCCAGGCTTGGCCAAAGAGGCCTTCCTGGAGGCCTCAGCGTTGTGACATTTTCTGTTCACATCAGTGGCATCCGGGAAGCTACTGGTTCCTGCTGCTTTTTTCTGAGTGTCGTATGACATTAATAAGCCATGGGGCTGGGTAGCCTCGGGTCTGAGATCTAGGCCAGGCTCAGCCCCTACAAACACAGAGTTCAGCCCCTACAAACACAGAGTTCTTTCTGTGGACGCTCTCTGGTGAAGAAATTTCAGCATGTGTGACAGTGAGGCTAGGGGCCATTTGTCCTGGTTGGGGCAACCCCTGGGGCTGCTGAAATCACAAAAAAGAGCATCTCTGACCCCAGCCACAAATGTCATTGGCCTGCCCTGGGACCCAGGGGACAGAGTGGGAACCATGCAGAGGTGACATAGCTGCTGGCTGTCATCTGCTGCATGCTACCTCAGTTGATGTTCAACCTTGAGCCCAATGAACCCAAACATTCCTCCCTGCTCTGGAACACTCTCATCTGTCAAGTGGAGAGAGCACCTGCCCTCAGCAGTCTGGCTGGGGAGGCGGAGCTCCTGGGAGAAGAACGTCCTGTTAGTGGGAGGCTGAGGCTGCTATGACCACGCTGCCTATATGTCACTGTCTGAGAGGCAGCGTGGAACAGGGCTGCTGTTGCTTTCAGTAGCTCCAGACCTGCCAGGGGAGGCCACACATCTGGTGGGGTGGGCAGGCTGGCCCAGGACCCTTATTATTAGGAAAATTGCGCCATTTGTTGAGTTGGTCTGGATCCAGCTTAATTTCTCAGCTCCAAACCGACTCCATGGCACATAACCGCCACCACCACCAAGCCTGTGAGCCCTGTGCTCATGCCTGGCAGGCTTGGATTGGGACTGAGGCAGAAGACACTCGGATTTATAAAAATGTATTTCCCTCAAAGGACCAGACTTGTGGATGGGCAGAGCCCTGGTTCCTGTGTGTGCGGTAGAAGCTCAGGGTGGTGCACACGTGTGTTTGGGTGGGTGTAGAGAGACCATAGGAAAGAGCTGGTGTGTGTGAAGGCCAGCCACTCCAGGTCCGCTCCTCCCAGAGAACTTCCACTGTCTGCCTGGGGAAGGAACAATAATCCAGAGACACTAGATCCTCTGAGGTCGCTGACTCCAGCCCAGAGCAGATCTTCAGGGCTTGGTGGTATCCCCACCCCTGCCCAGAGCCTCTGGGGCATTTCCAGGCTGGGCTTGGTCAGTGCAGCCTGTGTGGGCTCTGAAGGAGCAAGGCTGCACATGCTGGGCTTTTTCCTGGCAGAGCCAGGGCTCAACCCCAATAAAGCCCTTCTAATCCATGTTATTTTCTTCTAATCCCTCCCCTCCCGCTCTGGCTTGCATACACCACCCTGCAGAACCTTTGGTGGCAAGCCAGGGCCTGTGCTGAGTCCCAGGCATGCGGAAGCCAAGCATCTGCTGCATCATGCCCGGATGAAGGCCAGGACCCGACCCCTCCGGGCCAGTCACGACATCATGCCCACCATTGCCCCGGGCAGCCGGTGAGTGGGGCCAAGCAAGGCCAGCCTCAGAGGTTAGGGGAGCCAGGGTCAGAGGAGAAGGTGTGGGCTCTTCCTCCCTTTTTCAGGTGGGATATTTTGTTTTGTTTTTTCCATGTCAGGCCTCTGTTTAATTCATTTAGCCTGAACACACTTTTACTGAGGGCCTACTGAGAAGCAGACACTGAGCTAGACTCAGGACACAAAGGTGAACGGAACACAGTCCAAGCTTCCTGAAGGATGAAGATCTTAATCTCCAGGAAACAAGACAGGCCAACAGTTCAAGACAACTGTGCTGACTCCACTGTACTAAGACCCTTGGTGGCACAACTGTTAAGTGCTCAACTGCTAGCCAAAAGACTGGCATTTCAAACCCACCAGCAGCTCCATGGGAGAAAAAACCTAGCAGTCTCCTCCCTACAGATGAAAACTAAGACCAGAACCCATTGCTGTGGAGTCAGCTGCAGCTTATGGAGACTGTGGGACAGATAGAACTGCCCTATGGTGTTTCCAAGGCTGTCCTGGTGTAGCGCTGTGGGATAAAGCACTAGACCACAAGGTCAGTGGTTCAAACTCACCAGCCGTTCCTTAGAAACCCTATACAGGATCGCTATGAGTTGGAACCAACTCAACAGCACTTACAACAACAACTGTCTTTCAGCAGACTGACTCAACTTTCCTTTGAGAAGCAGCTGGTGGGTTCAAACCCCTGACCTTTTGGTTAGCAGCTTAACACTTAGTCCACCATGCCTTGGAAATCCTATGGGGCAGTTGTACTCTGTCCTATAGGATCTCTGAGTTGGAGTTGATTGCACACAATCGCAACGACACCCTGTAGCAGAGATACATGTGCCGGGAACCTGGAGCAGACAAGCGAGGCTTTCCAGGGGAGGTGGCTTCTGTGTTTGGGCTTAAAGCAGATGCAGGTAGCCACTGGGCAGAGAGAGGGCCAGGGGAGCATCCTGGGATCGTGAGCAGGAGCATGGTACTCAGGTCTGTGGGGCTGGAGTGTCTGGACGTGTCAGGCTAGAGAGCCTGGCTGCAATGTCAATTCCTCCTGTAATAGACCCAGAGCCACTGAAGGACTTTACGCAGGTGAATAGCATGGTCACATTTGCATTTCAGTATAGCCATTCTGGCTGCTGGGACATGTTGAGCAATGTAGAACCTGCTGCATGGTCCTGTTTAGATGTAATGAGGCCTGAACCCTGCAGGTGGGGATAAGGGGAGGAGGGACAGACAAGGGATTCCCAAGAGTTAGAGGCAACCAGACTTAATGAAGCATCAACGTGCTGAAGACTTGAGAACTTGACCATCCAAGTTTGAATTCTGGTTCTGCGACTTACTAGTTGTGTGCCTTTGGGGAAGTCTCTTTATCTCAGTTCCTCATCTGCAAAATGGGAATTATAGTCATACCTGGTTTGTTTTTTTTAATGTTTTATTGTGAATTATATGATAGTTTACATGGGGCAACTTTAGTTTTACATTCATTCCATCGTATATCATCTCATTGCCATGGTTCCATTCCCATCCATGCATCATCAACCACCCAAAGGGTATATCCCAGAAACCTGCTCCCTATACTTCCCCCTCCTCCCCCCAGTTTTCAGCCCACAGTCCCTTTCCCTCTCTGGGTCCAAAGTCCCCAGTCGCTTCATCACTCCTCGTCATCATCTCTGCCTCCATCTCAGGCATCTCTCTTTCTCTGGGTAGGGTCCCGCTCTCAGCTCTTCTCCGTTGATGGTCCCAGAGGTCTCCGCTCCTATCCTGGAGAATTAATCACTCCCTTCTTTGTTACAAAACTTCTACCTTTGCATTTCCAACCCTCATAGTCCGTCCTGATAAGCATTATTCACTACAGTATCATGAGTTACCCATCTGTATCTCCTTTCATCAGCTCCGCCCAGACAGATTGAATAGTACCTATTGGAGATTCTGCCTTCCACCATGCTCCCTAGCACTAGGTTCCCTCAGTCATAACTGTTTTAAAGGATTGTTGTGAAGGTTGCATGAGTTAACATATGCAAAGTGTTTTAAATAGTATTTATCATATTATTGTTGTTGTTGTTAAGTGTTATCGAGTTGGTTCTGACTCATAGTTACCCCCTATAGGGTTTCTGAGGAGCATCTGGTGGGTTTGAACTACCAACTTTGTGACTCTAACTGACCTGGTGTTCAGTGCATTATTCTGCACTCCACATGTTACAGAGTAGAACTGCCCTATAGGATTTTCTTGGGAGTCCTGGTGTGGCACTATAGGATAATCACTGGATTTCTAACCACAAGGTCAGCAGTTCAAACCCACCACCTGCTTTTTGGAAACCCTATCCAGGGTCACTGTGAGTCGGAACCAACTTGATGGCACTTGACAATAACAACAACAACAACTTTTGCAGAAACAGATTGTCAGGTCTGTCTCCTCCAGAGCCACTGAGTGGATTTGAACTTTCAGTTTGCCACTTTGCACTTAATCATTGGTGTCACAAGGGCTCTTTATCTAGTATATCCAAACCCAGTGCCGTCAAGTCCACTTCAATTCCTAGTGGCCCTATAGGACTCTGAACTACTGCTCCGTAGGGTCTCCAAGACTGTAAGTTTTTACAGAAGCACTTTGCCTCATCTATCTCCCTGCAGAGGAACTGGTGGGCTCAAACCACCCGTCTTTCAGTTAGCAACCCAGCACTTAACCCACTGTACCACCAGAGCTCCTTTATCTGGCACATAGTGAGCAATGTATGAGAGGTGGCTCTTCTTAGTAATTATTTAATTTACTGGCTGTGAGAGGTCATGGGAAGAGGAAACATCCAGAACAGAGCCCAGAGTTCTGAACTGGTGCCTGGATATTTGTCTGGGCAGGGTCAGACTTGGAGGGGACATGGCTTCTGTCCCCTACAGAGCATCCACTGGAGATGCTCATAAGCAGTTGGATAAAGGATCTGTAGAGGAAGAGAGAGGCCAGAGCTGCTTTTTGATGATATGGGAGTCAATGGTGTGAGCTCATAAGGGATGAAGAGATGGAAAAGGAACAAGTTCAAAGATATGCAGACCAACACATCACACAAGTGACTGCTCCTTGGGGTGACACTCCCCATTTCCCTCATCGAGCCAGCCCTGTGTAATGTATCCTGCTCCACTCACACATGGAGTTTTCTATGACACTGTCTTGTCTGGTATCTTGGCTTGAGATGAGACTGCCAGCCCATGCTAAACCACACCAGGCACAACCAGGAGCATCTCTTCATCCTACAAGGTCTATGGTTTCACTGGCACAGTGGGCACGTTGCATTTGCCTGATTCCGTCACCGTGTGGCACTAGAGGGAGTGAGGATTCTTCGTGGAACTGGACCACATGTTCTTTGTTTTATTGTTGTTGTTGTAAAAATATGTGCAGACATACCTCAGAGATATTGCAGGTTTGGGTCTAGATCCCTGCAATAAAGCAAGTCATATGCATTTTTTGGTTTCCCAGTGCATAGAAAAGTTATATTTGTACTAAATTGTAATCTATTAAGTATGAAAAAGCTTGAAATATGAGATTTACCAAAATGTGACACAGACATGAAGTGCTGTTGGAGACATGGTGCCACTACACTTGCTGGACAGAGTTATCACAAACCTTCCATTTGTAAATAAGCCAAGAAACCCAGGCTGTAATTATCTCTGAAGCGTATATGTGCCTATAGAACATAGCATTTGCCAGTTCAATATTTTGCAGGTATACAATTTCATGATACAAATTATATTAGTCTTGTGGTGAAACCACCATCCATAGACTTGCCAAATTTCTCACTGGATCACATGCCCTTGAGGATGGATGGTGAGCCTGCTCATTAGAGGCTGACCTTTTAAGGAACTATGGAAATTACTCTATCATGAGCAGAGGCAAACGATGCTTGGCTGCATCCCTTAGGAGAGGGGGAGGGCCCAAATCAAAATGGAACCCACTGCTGTTAAGTCAGTTCCCACGCATAGTGACCCCATTGTTGTGAAGTGCCATAGAGTCGTTTCCAACTCTGAGTGAGTGACCTTGTGTAGGGTTTCCGAGAGTGACTGGTGGGGTTTGAACTGCTGACCTTGTGTTATCAGTAGGCTCCCCTTACTTTGGTTTCCTTACATTGTGCCTTGTCTCACCCTCTGGATAGAAGGCACTCATTTGGGAATGGATCTGAAAGTATTGCGGCTGTTCTCCCCACATACATATAGTTCCTAGGGATTTCCTTTTCTGTTTTGTATAGGTACATTGGTTGGGCTGGGTAGCCTCGAAGTAGGACTATCTATGCAAAAGAGACTATTGTGTAAATGTATTCTTGGACCCTTTCCTCTCCCACAAACCACTTCAGCAGCCCACAATGACCCCAATCAGTACTTCAAAGTGGGTTCCCTTTTGCCAGGCTGTCTTCTGGTTGTAGAAATGCAAGGTGACCCACTTTAGCAGCAGCTGCTGCTGTGTCCAGAAAAGAATTACTATGACTTGGCAGCACTGGTGAATCCTGAGGGTATAGTTGAAAAATCAATGCCAGATGGTTTGCTGCAGATGCTTCCAAAGGTTACGCTCTGTCATATCACCCTGGAGAGCCATACTGTGTTAACACGGCGAAGCCACACAGGCCCTGGGCCTCAGTCAGTACAGCAGGCCCCACCCCCAGTCCAGATGGAGCTCTCCTTCCCAGAGCAGCTTGGTGAGAGATGATGGAAGAGGAGGGTGAGCTGAGTAATCTCCAGAAGGCCTTGTCTAACCTAGACAAGGTAGCTGGGGCAAGTCTGAATAGACAGGGCTTTTCCTGGAGGGAAGAAGGTAGCTTAGCAGTAGCTGTATTTTCTGGAAGCAAATCAAAGTAGAAATTGAACAGTGCCTAGAAGCACAAGCTCTCGCCATTTGGGGACTAAGGCATACCTAGGTTTGTACTCCTAGTTCCAAGACGGCAGAACACAGCCACAAGACTCAGGGGTGATGTCCAGGTGGGTGTCACCTTAGTACTAGCTAGTGTTCTGTATCAGTGAGAGAACAGGTGTGTTAAGTCCCCATAGGGCATGCATATCTCATGCAAATTATGCAGTTGGGACTGCCTGTTTGTACACAGTGGGACTCTGGAAAAGGGTCTCCCTATGGAGGCCATACAATTCCAAGACTGCACCAGAGGGTCTAAGCTCAGACCCAAATCCTTCCCAGTGTTGTTGAGGCATCTGCTGTGGCCTGGTCTTGATAAGCTTGGCAGGCAAGCCATCTGCTTGCTGTGTAGATGCCTGGTCACTCTGCACCTGTCTCCCAGATCCTTTAGGGATTTTTCCCAGCACTGCTGGTGGGCACCTCTGGATCTGAGTCAATGAATGGAAGACATGGTATTGCGACTAAGCTCTCCTTCATTGCACCGTTTAGAATAAAAATTGTGTTTCTACCTTTCAAGTGAATTTTAGGGATGGTTCAGTTCACCATATTATTGTATGTCAAAAAAGCTGTGGTCACTGAGGTGGTTAATGGATCCAGATTCACTTGTTGGGTTAGAAATGCCCCACCCTTAAAGCTGGGCTCTTTTCTTTTTTTCCTCCCCAACATGTGCAACCCACATCCTGTGAGCAGAGAAGGGCATCACCTCCTGGGGCCTATGTAGGGGTTGTTGTGTCTAAACTGACGTAGTGAAACACCAGGCAGTATTTCCTGTGTGGTGTTGGTCTGGCTGGGAAGGGTGTGGTGAAGGCAGACCCTGCTCACTGGGGTCCTCTTGTTCTTTAAAGTGAGTTGATGCTATGACCTGGCTAGATTTTGGAAGGTCCTTCAGCATGGTGATTGTCCCACAAAAGTTTCCTCAGACCCTAGGAGGCTAACACAGATACAAGTGCCCAGCATCTTCATATGGATTCTAAGGAGCAGGGTCTCAGAACTCCAGTGCTTCACAGCAGAAACTCACTACCACAGTCATAGAGAGCCCTCCCACCGTAAACATGTTGATAAAAGCATGAGACACTGCAACCCTTCACCTTCACCCATGGGGCTGCTGCTGTTGTAGTTCACATCTCTCAACACAGAGCCTCTGAATGCAGGGCCACATTGTGGCTTCTGTGGACCCTAGCCTTCATGAGTCTCTTTTTTCCATAAAAACTGTTTAAAAATCCATTTCAGTGACTTGTTTTAAGGTTGGCGGTTCAACTTTACCAGCTGCTCACTGGAAACCCTATGAAGGGTTACTGTGTGTCAGAACTGACTCACTGGCACTTAACAACAAAAACATGCTAATACTATATATTAAAGTGGAGTCCTGGTGTGGCGCTGTAGGATAAGCACTGGACTGCTAACCACAAGGTCACTAGTTCAAACCCACCAGCCACTCTGTAAGAGAAAGATGAAACTTGCTGCTCCCATAAGATTCACAGTCTCAGAAACCCTCAGAACCAACTCAATAGCACCTAACAACATACATTAAAACATTTTCTTTGACCTAAAAGTTTATTTTCTTCTGATTAAAAACTAATAATAAATGCAAGCCTCTCCACGGATCTCTAGGCACTGTGGCTGCTAACGGTACCTAATGGATTTGGATCTGTTTGAATGTGAGTTGTAGAGCCCAGGATTACTGATTCTTCAACATTCTTCAGAGTGGCCCCATTAAGCGTAATGACACAAAACAAGCCAAAAAGCCACTGCCATTGAGTCAATTCCAACTCACAGTGACCCTGTAGGACAGTGTAAAACTGCTCCATAAGGTTTTTGAGATTGTAAATCTTAATGGGAGCCGATAGCCTCATCTTTCTCCCAAGGAGTGGCTGGTGGGTTTGAACTGCCAACCTTGAAGTTAATAGCTCAATGCTTAACCTACAATACCACCACGTTGCCTTTTTAAGCACAAGATATGTTTAAATCTCAAAGCAGACCGTTCATTTATTTAAGAATACTAACTCAAAAAACCACTGCCACAGTGTTGATTCCTGATCATAATGAACCTGGTGCAAACACTTTGTGAGGCCACAAATTTTTATGGGAGCAGAAAGCTTCATCTTTCTTGCTCAGAGTCATTGGTGGGTTTAAACTGCCCATCTTTCTGCTCCTACAGTGTCACCAGAGATTCTGCTTAACAATTGTCCTTTTTAAAAACAATTCCTCCAAAAACAGTGTTTATTGGGGAAAACCCTGGAGTCAGGTGTAGTAGCAGATGCGCAAGTCCACATTGCTTGTTGCATCCCAGGGCAGTATAAATATCTAGTAAACACCTAGTGTTGTGTTCCAGCCCAGGCTCTCCATGTTAGCTGAAGCACTCTTCTTTAAAAATGTATTTTGTTGTTGTTGAGAAGGTACACAGCAAAACATACACCTGTTCAACTGTTTCTGTATGTAAAGTTCAGTGGTACTGAATACATTCTTCCAGGTGTCCAACCATTCTCACCCTTCTTTTCTGAGTTGCTTCACCCCAATACTCACATAAATTCACTGCCCTCTATGGTTCCTAGCTGGGCTTTAGAGCTGCTGTTGTCATTTTGATCCCATGTATTGCTGTTGTTGCTATGTGCGGTAGAGTTGCTTCCAACTCATGCAACCATATATAGGGTTTCCGAGGCTTTAAATCTTTCTGGAAACAGAAAGCCTCATCTTTCTCCTGTGTCGCTGCTGCTAGATTCAAAGTACTGGCCTTGAGGTTAGCATATAGCTCATTGTTAAAATTTAGAGCTTAGAACTCAAGGCAAACACTTTTTACTGGTTCAGCTTAGTTGTTGTTTGGTTTTGGGGATGGACTGAAGGACTCTGGAGCGGCATGATTTGGGGAACAGTGTGACGTGGCAGTGTTGATTTTTGAGTGCTGCACCTCAACACCCCGGTGGGCTTGTGAGCTGCCCAGGTTTGCTGCCTGACTCCCAAAAAACCGAATTAGGTGTCTTTGGGGGTTGCAGTGACTCTGGAGCACTGGGAAACTGTATCCCTGGCTAATGGGTGTGGCTGGTGTGTGCCTAGTGAGGGGTCTTCCATGTGCTGCGTGTTGTGATCTCTCTTCTGTCTCTTCATCAGAGACAGCCGGAGGAGCCCAGCTCTGGACCCAAGGATGACCTTTCCCAGCAGAGACAGCCCCCAGAACGGGAACCTGAGTGACTCCTCCAGCGGGGAGTCCAGCAGTGGGCTGTGGTCCAAGCGGGGCGCTTCCCCAACGTCCCATGTCCGCTTTGAGGATGAGTCTGCCCACGATGTCGAGTTCCGCTACCTGGAGCGGTTACAGCAGCGCCAGCGCCAGGGACTGAACTCCACGTCTTTGCAGGCGGTAGACCAGGGCCCCTTGCGTTCCAAGCCCGACTTTACAAACTATATCAGCAGGGGTGGAAAGTGTCGGGACGCCAGGGAAGGAGCACTCCACAGGCTAGCTGGAGGACCGCAGCGGGAGGGCCTCCCACCGCCACCCACACCTGACATGGAGAGGAAATGCCAAACCTGCGACATCTCTATCCCGCAACAATGCCCTCTGGAGGGGAAGGCACCCCCTGACCCAAGGGTCCTCTGGGAGCTCGAAGCTGTTGGTGGGGTGGAAGGAGTGCTGTGGAAGCACCATCAATCTAGGGGCCTGAGCCCCCCTGTCAGGCTCCTACTTGCTGAGCCGGAACTCCACACAGAGCGGGTCTGCGAAACGCACATCGGAGATATCCTGCGCCCAGAAGAGGTGGACTCTGCCCTGGATAGCACTGACACTTCCGACAGCTGCAGGACTGACAGTGAAGACTCTGGCGTCTCTCAGCCCAGCAGGACGGTGGCCCAAGCCCGGAACTCCAGGTCTACAGGGGGCCACAGTTGGCTCAGGAAAGTGGAGCAGCCCCCGGGCCTTCAGGACCAGCATCACCTGACTGGGGTTGACCCTGTGGAGGCAATAGATGAGTCGAAAGACGGCAGAGAACACACACCAGCAGGGACTGTGTTTTCCAGAGAAGATGCTGTGCTGAAGCCTCCTGCCCTGGAACCTAAAAGTTCTTCCCTGGACTCCCAGTGCCAGCCAGACCCCAGACTAGGAAGCTGTTGGACTCACCTGGTGGGTTCTGGAGCTCCAGAAAGGACAGCTGGTGCCTCATCCATGAAGTTCCGGTTGATGCGGCCAGGCAGACAAGCCCAGTTTATTGAAAGCCATGAATCTCTGGAAGCTGCCTCCACTTCCTCCCTGCAGCGGAGCCAGATAGAGCCCTCTGCCCCCTACCATGCCCTGCTGCCATCTGCTTCCCTCTTCTCGGAGGGCTGGGTGCCAGTTCCTCCCTCTTCAAGGAAAACAACCTCTTCACCTGTGCCTCACAGGAAGGCAGTCCTGATTGGGTCCCACAGGCTGGTTGACCAGGGAGACTCCGGGGATACTTCCCATACTCCTTCAGAAAGTGTGGTTCCCAGGACCTGTGAGCTCAGCCCTCTGCAGACTCAGCCATGCAGCCCCCAAGTAAGACACCCACTGCTGATTCTGTCCACCAACAACTGCAATAACAGTGAGTCTCAGGAGCCCTGGAGAGAAGCCACCCCTGAAAGTGATGTGCAGAAGGAACCCTGCAAACAGGAGCCAGAACTGCCCTTGGAAAATAGCAGGGAAGGTAAGGGATTGCTTTTGGTTCATGCCCAACTAGAGCAGAGGTCCTCGTGGCTCTGTGGTACACCCAGGATTTCAGAGTTTTCACTTTCTTTTAATGAAAACATGCACAGCAAAATCAGGTTCTATTCCAGTTTCTAGACATAATGGTCACTGACATTGGCCACTTCCTTCTTCCTTTCCTTTTAATAGTCAAATAGCATCACTCCAACAGCCTCTTAGAGATCCTATCAGTAGCAATGGCATCGAGGAAGCTGGTGGGGCCCACGAGCTGGATGCAGGATTCAGCATTCAGCATCAGGGAGGCAGAACCTTGTGGGAGGTGGTGGTGATGCCCAAGTTAATGCTGGGAACCTTGAGGTGTACACAAGGTTCCAAGTTCCGAGGCTGCTGGGGCGTGAGCTAGAGGAGATTTTACTCTCAAGAGAGTAGGACGAACAGCAGCTTTAGTATTTGTTATTTGCTTAGAGCAGTTGTTGTTGTTGTTGTTATGTGCCGTGGAGTCGGAGCAGTAAATGGCCTATAATCACATGGTCAGGCCCTTTCCTTCAACATCTTTGTTTCTTTCATGTATTCAGCATTGACTAAGCACCTGTTACTGTGGGGAATGTAAAACTCCCTTCAATCAGCAGGAGTCCTGCCCTTGAAACCTTCTGTGACTAGACAAATGGTAACTCCTGGGCACAACTCCTACAAGGTGTGCTGGGCTTGCCCTCTGGTGCCTGAGTCCTCCCTGAGCCCGGGCTCCACTGGGCACATGGGTAGGTCTCAGCAGGTAAGGCTGCTGCACGGTGTAGGATAGCATCTTTTTTGCCTTTGGAAAGAGTCCTCAGAAAGTGGGCAAATTCTGGGCATCATCAGCTTCACGATCCCTAATGTTGTGAACTGAAGTGACTAACTTAGGCCCTCATTTTCTTAGACTGAGATGATCAGATGACAGGCCTTGCTTTGCACGCCAGCACCCCCCCTTGCTTAAAATGTGTCCAAAAACTCTGGAAGCCTTGGGGCTGGGCTGGCTTGAGAGGGACCAAGGGCTTGGAAACAGTGGAGGAGGAGGAGCAGACAGGTGCTGACTATACTGATCTCACTGAAAATGTGGATCCATTCCGGGTTGTGCTGGCCACCCCCTGCACCCCACACAGAAGCACATTTTCTCTCTTTCCTCTCCTACTTTTGCTCACACACCCTTTGAAGAAACTCCTTGCCCCAGGTCCCTCCCACCACTTGCTAAGTTGTGGTTTCCATCTAGGGGTGGGCTCTTGACTGGCTGTTGCTCTGTCCCTGGCCACTTCCTGTAGCCCTTCTACTCTGAAATCCAATGACTTGCTGGGCAGTGCAGACCTTCACCCCTCCCGATCTGCAGTCTGCACTATAGGTAGGCATTGACTAAGGAGGAGGATGACCTCCTTAGCCTGCTCTCTCCCCAGGCTTCAGGTGAGGCTCCTCCTCTCAGTAACCATGCCATCCTGGGCAGGCTACTTAACACCTATTTCTTAAGAATAAATGGAATAATCTCTGTCTTGCCATCACATGATAGATGGTGCAAAACAGCAGCTATTGTTAATGTGATTAGAAATTCCCACTAGGAAGACTGTGTTTTTGTTGCAAGAATACAAACCTTTCCTCCCATAGGGGAGTCCTGTGGAGGCAGTTCTACTCTGTCACATGTGGTTCTATATAAGTCAAATTGACATGAAGTACAACATGACCCTTGATAGAGAAGGGACATGACTTATCACATTCATGCCATAAACATTTCTTAATCACCTACCATGTACCAGGAAAGTGGCTCTGGTGGTGCAGTGGGGTAAGCACTGATCTAGTAACCTCAAGATGGGTGGTTCAAACCCACTAGTCACTGTGAGGGAGAAAGACGAGGCTGTTTGATCCTGTAAAGATTTACAATCTCAGAACTCCTATGGAACAGTTCTACTCTGTTCTATTGGGTCATTATAAGTCAGGATTGATTTATTGGTCATGGGTTTGGGTTTGGGCTCTACCAGGCACTATGCTGGGTGATGGGGTCATAGCAGTAGACATGACCCAGTCCCTGCTCCCAAGCTCACCCTCTAGAAGACTCGAAACCGTGACTCTGTTCATCGTCATTCCCACCTCCACCCATTGCTTCCTGGTGAGCGTCTCTCCATAGGCCACTGTGGCCTGTTTCCTTTAGCTTGCTTGTTGGGAATGCCCATCAGTGCACCGTGCCTGTGGATGTGGGCCAGGTCAACACAGGAGCGATGCTGTGGTTGTTGCAGGAGGACCCCAGGGCTTTCCCGGCCCAACAGGCGTTGGCACCGTCAGCTCCACGGGTACCACCCTTTCCTTGGCTGCAGAGGAGCCAGAGCCCAGTCAGGAGCCAAAGGGAGGCCTGCAGAGGACAGAGCCCAGGTCTGGAGGGCATGAGCCATCGGGGTGAGTGACAGGAGCAAGAGTCCTGGCCGGGGAGCAGGGAAAGGGGGTGCAGGGTGGGAGATGATGTCCTCTGGAGCAGTCTCATGACTCCCCATTTCCCCCAAATCCTCAGACGGTTCAAGTCTGGTACCCCTAATACTGCTTGCCTAATCATGTTTAGTCTAATATACTTGATACTCATTCACTGGCCATTCATTGAACAGCCTCCAGCTCCCAGCAGTGTGCAGGATTCTGGGGCACAACTGATCAGGCAGTCCTGGCCCCTGGGTGTCCCTAGGGCGGGGTTGCTTGTCTGAAAAGGCTCACTTCTGACTCTGAGTTTTCTTCTGCTGTTGAGCAAACAGCCCAGCATTCATTTTCCAGTTGTCTTCTTTGGCTTTGAGGGTGGAGTCCTTGTCCCCGGACTTCTTTAGCTGAAGTAAGCTCAGTGCTCTGGACGGTGTCTTCTCTTCTCCACTGTCTCTGGTGACCTCACAGAGTCCCTGACTTCATATGCCCCCAAGAGCAACATCTCCTACAGCCCCAGATTCACACCCAGCATGCCTCGACACTTCCACCAGGGGGCCTGGTGGTGGTTGTTGTTGTTGGGTGCTGTTACGTAGATTTTTGACTCATAGAGACCCCATGTGGGAGAGTAGAACTGTCCCCATAAGATTTCCTAGAATGTAATCTTTACGGCATCAGATTGCCAAATCTTTCTCCTGTGAAGCCTCTGGATGGGTTCGAAGCACTGACTTTTTGGTTAGCAGTCAAGTGCTTAACCATTATGACACCAGGGATCCTTAAAGTGTCTGATGTTGTTGTTGTTAACTGCCATCAAGTCAATTCTGACTCATAGTGATATGACCTGTGTAGGGTTTCCAAGGAGCAGCTGGTGAGCTTGAACCACCGACCTTGCAGTTCAAACGACTTTGCAGTCTGGCGCATTAGCCCACAGCGCCCCACCAGGACTCCAAAGTGTCTGATGTTGTTGTTGTTTTGTTCCCTGGAGACAGTTCCGACTCATAGCGACCCTATACAGGGTTTCCAAGGCTGTAAATCTTTACAGAAGCAGAAAGCCTCATCTTTCTCGAATGTAACAGCTGGTAGTTTCGAACTGCTGACCGTGAGATTAGCAGCCCGATTTGTAACCACTACGCAAACAGAGCTCCTTAAAAGTGTCTCATAAAATACCTCAAAATCAACACAGCCAAATTGAACTCTCAGTTGCTCCAGACAGAATCTGCTTCCCTCTCCATCCCTTTCCAGTAAGCACATGATCATCACACAGTTCAAGCCTCCGTTCTGGGACTTCCTTGGGCTCTTCTCTTGTCCTCCTCTCTTACTCTCCTATTTGTCAAGTCCTCTCCACCTTCTGAGTGTACCCCTTACTGCCATTTCTCCTGGTCTCAGCCACACTACTTCCTTGCTATATGAGGTGGAGCTTCAAAAAAATTCGTGAAAAAAGGAATGAAAAGATATTGGAACTTTTCCATGAGCTTTCTGAAGCCACCTCATATAACTCTAATGTTCAGTGCTGTCGAGTCGGTTCTGACTCATAGCGATTGGTGAGTTTGAACCGATGATCTTGTGATTCACGTGACCTTGCGGTTCAGGGGTGATCCTACAGGGCCACACCAGGACTTCATAGCTCTTATAGCCTCCTATGTGAATCGAATATGCTCTCTCCCTTCACTCTTGCTCCCTATGAGCCCTTTTCCAAATGATAGTTTTTCTTTCAGCTTTAATGATATGATTTACTTAATTAATTTAAACTCGGCTTGACCTCTCCCCAGCCAGCAATAGTTTTTGTCCTCTCACTTGGAATCTAATTCAAACCCTTTATCTCATCTAACCAGCCTGCCTGACCTCATTTTGCACTTCTTTCCTGCCTTCTCATCATGTCCAAGCTCCAGTGGCCTGGCCCCTCTGTTCTTGCTTGCAGCCCTCAACAGCCTGAGCATGGCCCTTAGAAGAGCTGTGAGGAGGCCTGCTTAGGTTGAGCAGAGTGAGTTGGGGAGAGGGGAACTGAGCTCCTGGAGGTGCAGGCCTGGGCTGTGGCGCTAAGGGAGGCGGGAGCCACTGGAAGACCAAGGGCAAAGGGCCTACAGGCTCTGTTTCCAACAAGCTCCCCGGCTGCTGCGCTGAATACTAATTTCCTGAACTTTGTAGGACTGGTTCCTTCATGTCATTCAGCTCAGTTGAGAGGACCTTCCCTGGCTACCCAATCGAAAACAGACATCCAGTCCCTCTCTGCTTCATCCTGTCCATTGGTCACTGATGTTTTTTCTCTTGGGTTTCCTGGTGTGTTGTTTGTAAGTCCCTGAGAGCCAGGAACTGATTGGTCTCATTTGTAACTTAACCCCAGTGCCTACAAGGGGCTGGCACCTAGTGGAAAGCTATTGTCAGCCAGTCACTTGTCTGGGAATCTCATTAGTTACAGAGTAGAGCTGCTCTGTAAGGTTTGCTTGACTGTGATTACCTGGTCTTTCTTCTCTGACACCACTGCTTGGGTTCAAACTGGCAGCCTTTAGGTTAGTGATGGAATGCAAACTATTTGTGCCCTCCAGGGAACTAGTGAAAACTTGAACAAGTGAATAAATGATTGAATAAATCTATAGGTGTGTGTGATATCAGGGGTCCTATCTGAGCTGCTCTCTCAAAAAAGCTCCCCACGCCAGAGTAGCTGGCAGAAGTCCACTTGGCCCTTCTCTTTGCAGCCTGCTTGCCAGTTCCTTGCATAAGCACTGCTGCTGGCCTGTCCAGTGCCCTCAGACCTCTACGGTGCAGTCTGTCCTTGCCCGCTGCAGCCCACCTCATGTCTACCCTTGTGTTTCAGAGCCTCACCAGGGGTCACTGTAGGACCCAGCCCACCCTCAGCTACCCCTTCTGAAAGGAACAAGAAAAACAGCAGCAGCATTGCCTCCATCCTGGGGTTGAAAAAATTCTTCATGACCCTGGGCCAGAGTACTCGACCCAAGCTGGGCAAGTCCCGTAGCTACAGTGTGGAGCAGCTGCAGTCCCCTGCATCCGGTCCGGCTTCACGTGCCAGCACTCCCAAAGCGAAGAGAGCCCCATCGTTACAGTCCCTGCATTTGGTGAGTCCTAAGGGCCCCAGCCCTGCTGTGACACTGTGGGTTAATGCACCAGACTGCAAAGTCATTTGTACTGCAAGGTCAGTGGTTCAAGCTCACCAGCTGCTCCTTGGAAACCCTATACAGGGTCGCTATAGGTCGGAATCAACTCAACGGCACTTAACAATAACAAGGGCCCCAGCCAAGGAGCCCTGGTAGTGTAGAGGATTATGAGCTGGGCTGCAAGCCACAAGGTCAGTAGTTCGAATCTACAGGAGAAAGATAAGACTTTCTGCTCCTGTAATGCTTTACAGCCTCGAAAACACTATGAGTTGGAACCGACTCAGTGGCACACAGCCACTACCACTAAGGGCCCCAGCAAGAGGGTATGTGAGGCCAGTGGTAGTGCAGTGATCAATGGAATGAAAGGTCAGGAAGTGAAGTACTAAGGATGCAGCCCATGGTAGAAAAGAGAAAGCATCCGCACAGTTCATCTGTGACGTTTGGGTTTCCCTGGATGTCATGCTGAAGGGAATCTAGCTCGGATTTGTTTTTCTTTCTTCTGTGGTCATCAGCATCCCACGCTTCTACTTTTCCACCTAGTTTTTCCACTCTCAGCTCATCCTGACTCTTCCCTCCCCTTCCTGGTCTCTTACTACCCCTCTCTTTTCCATGTCCCTCACCTTCACCTGTACCAAGTCTTGGAGAGCCTACTGCCTTGTCCCTCTGGGTCTTCTCCACGGCCGCAGTCACTGTCTTAGTGCAGGCCTGCATCATTTCACACCTGGGTTTGTTCAACAGCATCCTGAATAGCCTCCCAAGGAGTCTTTCCTCATGTGCCTCCCAGAATGGTACTTTAAAATACACATCTGGAGGACATACAGCAAGATGGTAGACTAGGCAGATGCATTACATGGAGCCTCTACAACAAAGATACAAAAAACCAAATGAAACAGATGCACATGAAAATTCCAGAACCCTGAACTTCAGAGAAAAGGTTAGAGAAGTGGATTGAGTGCTTGCTGGGAGGAGAAGCTAAGCAGGGACAGCAAGAGAGGGAGACTGACTTGGTGAACAGCGGCCAGATGCAGCACAACCATTGTGAGAAATTTTGACAACAGAACGTGGCATGGCAGAGCAGATTCACACAGGTGATGGGAGAGGTGTGATTCCCTCTTTTTCCCCATGTTCCTCTGGTGACCAGAATTGTGGCCAGCTCCCACCCTCATCCACCCCCAGTGAAGATCCTGCTGTCTGGGAATGTGGAGCCATATGGTTGGCAGTCACACCAGTGTGAGGTGGGGGCCATCTGTGCCACTTTGATATTCTGCTTTGGTGCCTGGATTCAGGTAGTATCAGCTCTAGACCTGCAGAACCCCCAGAGCTACCAGGCCAGCATTTAACCAGTCACCCTGTCCGCAGCTGCCTGTGGTCCTAAAAAACACAAACCAGCTCCATCAAGGGCCTCCACAAATGACTTCTGGATTGAGTGCCTGGAACCTGGATAATCCCGAGGCCCACAGGAACTCCATCTAGGGCCAGAAACTCTGCTGTCACCACCCTCCCACACTCACCCTGTGAGCTTCTTGGCTGGCTGGAGTCCCCTGAATTTTCTCCTCTTTGGGTCCAACAACTGTACTTCCTTTGTTTTTGTTTTGGGATTTGATTTTTTTTCCTTTTGCAGTTGCATTGTTTTTGTTTGTTCTGTATCCTCCCCCTTCTCTTTCCATTCCCTTGAATATTATCCTTTGTAGCTATTCTTAAGTGGATTTAAAATTTTGTTCCTTTTATTGTCTCTCATATATTTCTCTTCTATAGCTCATTTCCCTGCCCCCTTATTTTTCATAGTGATTATATTATTTTTCATGTTTTTTTCTCATTATTATTTTCTCTTTTCATTGTTGGTTCCTTGTTTGTTTATTCTGTTTTCTTTTCTTATGTGTGTGTGTATGTGTGTGTGTGAGGGATTTTCTCTTTCCCACTTGACAGGAGACAGCAACCATGTCCATGTAGCACCACACACTGGGCAAGAATTAATATCAGCTTCTATACCACCTGGTTAACAATAAACAGCAGCTAATACCCTAAACTGATGTGCACAAGCAGTGAACAAGATTGGTGTACACACTTCTATTCTCTAATTACACCCACAATAGACAGTTGGTGAGAGCCTCAAAACATATCAACATACAATCATCAATTGAATACAAACATGACAACTCCACCATGCCCCGGAAAAAACAGACAATTTTAGCTAACAAGAAGTCACATGAAAGAATGGCTCAAGCCGATGACCAAGATACAGAGCCAGAAATTGTTTCTGAGGAAGATGAGGTAATATAGCTAACTGAAAAATCATTCAAAAGAATGGTATTTAGGTACCATCAAAGGATTGACAGAAAGACCAAGGAAAGCAAGAACACAGAAAAACATCAGAAGAATTCAGGAAAACACTACAAGAACAAACAGACAAAATAAATGCAAAATTTGAAACAATACAAAACCTGCACTTAGAAATCCAGCAGATTAATACTAAGATTTCAGAAATGGACAATACATTGAAAAGGCAAAGGACTAGATTCGAAGAAATGGAAGCTCGAGTTAGACAATTTACAGGTGATCGGAATTCCAAAACAGGAAGACAATAAAAAAGCACAGAGAAAATTGCCGAAGAGTAATTGGAAGAAACTTCCCTAACATCATGAAAGATGAGAAATTAGCATATAAAAGAATATGAAGAGATCCCAAAAGAAAATCACCAAGACATATCAAATCAAACTTTCCAAAACCAAAGACAAGGAAAGAATCCTGAGTGCAGCTCATGAAAAGCAAAAGGTTACCTACAAAGGAGAACCAATAAGACTAAGCTCTGTTTCTCAGCAGAAACCATGCAGGCAAGAAGACAGTGGAATGACATACACAAAACTCTGAAAGAAGAAAATTGCCAACCAGCAAAGCTGTCCCTCAAATATGACAGAAAAATTAGGATGTTTCCTGATAAACAGAAATTAAAGGAATTTGTAATGAACAGACCAACTTTACAAAAAATGCTGAAGGGTGTTCTTAGGACTGAGAACCAATAACAGCAGACAGCAACCTGAGATTACCATACATGACAATACCAACCAGAACTCAATCCAGATATAGAAGTATTTAAAGTAAAACAAATCTACAAGGTTGAAAATAGGGAACCAGACATATCAATGTATAATAAAGTAAACTACAAATCAAAAAGAGGGAACAGTGTAGATATAGAACTTCCAAATGCTAGGAAGTCAAGTAGATTTCACGATAAAACAGAGTGTTTTAAATAGGGAAAAATTAATAAATTACAGGGTAATCTTAAAGAAAATTAATACACTTGTACATCAAAAATAAAAAAAAGGAAAGTCAGGAAGATTTAGTAAACATTAATGCAACAGAAATAAAGAAAATGAAAAGAAAACCTACAAACAAATAAACTCCGGGCAAAAAATGACATGGAATGAAGAAACCAGCAGCATCTCACACACACACAAAGAAAAACACACAGCAAAATGGTAGCACTCAGTCCATACCTATTGATAGTTACACTGAATGTAAATGAATTAAATGCACCAGTCAAGAGACAGACACAGCAGAATGGATAAGAAGACAGGATCCTTCAATATGCAGCCTACAAGAGACACATCAAAAAAATATAGACAGCCTAAATGCCCATCAGCAGAAGAATGGTTGAACAAACTTTGGTACATATACACAGTGGAATACTATGCAATATTGGAGAATAATGATGAATCTGTGAAACACCTCACAACATGGATAAACCTGAAAGACATTATACTGATTAAAATTAGTCCATCACAAAAGGATAAATATTATGTGAGACCAATGTTGTAACAAGTTAGGAAAAAGTTTTCTTAATAAACAATCGATTTAAGGGAGAGGAAAAATTATTCATCGGCTAGAGGGTAAAACACATGTTAGCATGGGTGACAAGTCAGGCAATATACAACAAGAGGGAGGTTGGCAGAGGAAAGATGAAGTAGCAGGAGGAATGCAATAGTTAAACTGAATAGAGGTAAATACTGTTAATTTTTGGTACCTGGAGGGATTGCAACCCTTGTAATGAACCAAAGAATAAGAATTTCTGAGTGTAAAACTGATGATCTACTCTGTAAACCTTCACTCAATTCACAATACAAAGCTTTTTGACAATAAAATAGAATGCACATCTGGCTATACATACCTCCCTTGCTGAGCACCATCAAGTCCTTACCTCCTCATGGTAGTCTCGCACCACTTGGCATTGCGGGAGGGCTCCAGTTCTCTGTTTGCTTTCACCTTTCATCACTCTCCTCCCAACACTCTTGATTGCAGTTACACTTGCTCTCCTAAGGCTCCATTTCCAGGCCATATGCTGTTTCCCCTTGAACCTTAAGATGTTTCTCCCACCTTCTTTGTCTCCTATTCATCAAGACTTTAGATAGTCACTCCTCTGTGACGCTATTTCCAGCTCTTCCTCAGCTAAGTTGGAGCCTTAGCTCTGTGTGCCCAGTCCACCATGTCTTTCCCTCCTTCATTGACTCACCACACAGTATTTGCATTGGTTTTTGGTTGCCTCCTGGTGTGGTGTGCTGTAGGATAGGCACTGGACTGTATGCTCAGTGGTTCAAATTCACCAGCTGCTCATTGGAACCAACTTGATGACACTTAACAACAACCACCTCTACCAGAGTGTGAATTCTTTGAGGGATCTTTCCATTCCCTACACAGTACAGTGGCTGGTCCAGCACGTACACACACTCAGTACACAGTGATGAATGAATGAAGGAAGGAGTGAGGGCAGAGCAATTAACTCTGCATGTGCTGGAGTGCTGGCAAGCCTACAGCAGTGTGATCACTCTCAAATCGACCTCTGCAAGCCCTGCTGTTTCCAGACATGCTGGTGTGCTAGTGCTGCTGTAACATACCACAAGGGGGGCGGGGCTTTAAAGAACAGAGATTTATTTTCTCACCGTTTAGGAGGCTGGAAGTCTGAATTCAGGGTACCAGCTCTAGGGGAAGAAGGTCTGTCAGCTCTGGGGAAAGGTCTTTGTTTCAACTTCTGTAGCCTGGTGTTCCTCAGCATCTGCCTTCCCCCATTTGTGCTTACTTCTGTGTCTAACCTACTCTTGTTATAAGGGAGAGTGCTTGGTTTATGACACAACCTAAACTATTGTTAAATGCCATCTAGTCGGTTCTGAGGAGCGGCTGGTGAGTTTGAACCCCCGACCTTGCAGTTCAGACCAACTTGTGGTTGAGTTCTTATGCTACCGTGCCACACCAGGACTCCAAAATAACAACAAAAAAAGCCTACTCCTAAATGAGAATATGGAGCCCTGGTGTGGAGCTGTGGGTTAATGAGCGAGACTGCCAAGCCATTTGAAATGTAAGGTCGGCAGTTCAAGCTCACCAGCTGCTCCTCAGAAACTGTACACAGGGTCGCTATGGGTCAGAACCAACTCAATGGCACTTAACAACAACAACAAATGAGAGTATACCCACAAGTACAGAGGTTAGGAGTCCAACACTTATTTTAGGGGGGATACAGTCCAGTTCATACACCAGGTATTGTTTTTTGTTCTCTATCCCTGCTCCTTCCCTGGGAAGGATGAGGCGGATGAGAATGGTTTGGGATGCTGGAACCTTTTCAGGCTGCAGTGGGGAAGGGAAAACATGCTGGTTGTCTTGTACCAAAGTCGGTGCCCTGTATGTGGTGGGGGACTTGGGTGGTACTCAATAAATATTTGTCGAATGAATGAATGGAAGACAAAGAAACCGAAGCTATGAGACCATAAACTGGAGAGAAGAGCAAGAGCGGTGACATTGAGCTCCAGGACTTCACTGTTCTCTTGACAAGAGACTCGTCCACTGTCTGAGCCATGGCGCTAGATTTACCGCTGCCATCGGAGCTTTTATCTCTATGAACACCTCAAGGGCAGTGACAACGCTGCTGGTGTAGTGGAGAGATCTATCAGCAGCTTAAGCTGAGTGTACAAACACAGAAAGTATACCGCGAAGAAAGTGTAGGAGGGATTCTAGGAAGGACAGAGCAGTGGAAAGAACTGGAACTATTTATGACATATGCCAGCAGTGAAATACTGCCTGATGAATGTGGTGTTTGGAAAATGTGTGCTAAGAAGTGGGGGAAACTTCACTAGGACATCTTCTGTCTCCCCTTGCCCTCTGGGGTGGGCAGCTGCCCTGTTCTCACACCTCAGCCACGCTGACACTGTCCAGGTACTTCAGGGAACTTCGCCCCTGGGCCTCTGAACCTCCTCTGGAAGATTTGTTCATTCTTCCTTCTCTCCCTCCCTGTTATCCTTCTGCTCTGAATTAAGCATGATTTCTCTGGGGAAACCTTATTAAACTCTGATACAAAGTTAAGTCTCCTTCTTAAGCTCCTTGATAACATGTCTTAAATCCCTTTCAGAGCATGGATTTCAAATGCAGTAAATGTTGTTGTTAGGAGCTGTCAAGTTGGTTCCAATGCATATCGACCTTAAGTACAAAAGAAAAGAAAGTTTGCCCCAGTCCTGCGCCATCCTCACAGTGGTTGCCGTGTTTGAGCCCATTGTTACAGCCACTGTATCAATCCTTTTTGTTGAAGGTCTTTCTCATTTTTGCTGACCCTCTACTTTATCAAGCATGATGTCCTCAAGGGACTGGTCCTTCCTAACAACGTGTCCCGAGTATGTGAGACAAACTCGTGCCATCCTTGCTCCTAAGGAGCATCCTGGCTGTACTTCCTCCAAGATTCAAATGCATCAAATCTTCTTTGGCCTTCTTTATTCATTGTCCAGCTTTCATCTGCATATGAAGAAATATGGGTATATGCCTATAGGGCCACTGTGAGTTGGGACTGACTTGAAGGCAACAGGTTTTAAAGTGTAATAAATAATGTATATAATTCTTTGTGTGGAGTCCTGGTGTGGTGTTGTGGGTTAATGCACTGCACTGCAAGGTCAATTTGAACCACAAGGTCAGTGGTTCAAGGTCACCAGCTGCTCCTCAGAAACCCAGGGTCACTATGGGTCGGAACCAATGCCATGGCACTTAACAACAACAACAGTTCTTTGTGTAAAATTCTTCTTACCTCTGCCAATTTCTCCACACCTCCACTCCACCTTCAGAATAGCTGCCATGTTGGGTCAATTTCTAAAATACAGATTTGACCATATCACTCTTCTAATTTGTATCGCTTACTGGTTCCTATGCAGAACATGAAAGGTCCTCCATGGTCAGCCCCTAGCCTGCCCCACCACTTGTGCAGACCGCGTGATATGTCCCAGAACACTGCATGCCTTCTCTCATCCGTGTCTTTGCCTGCATTTCTTCCTCGCATCCTTACCTCTTTCTTCACCTGGAGAACGCTTGTCTTAGGACTTCCTCAGGTATCCCCCACACTGCCTCAGCAGAAGTCTCTCAGCTTCCTAGCAGCACACCTTCTGTACTTTTAGTCTAACACTTTCACCTGCATTTAGACATGATCTGTACTCACCCACCCCAGTCATGTTGGAAACGCCCTGAGGGATTTTTGCCTTTCTGACTATGTTGTCTGTGCATGATGTTTTAAAGTACATACTTAAAATGATCATTTTTGAATGAAAAAAATTATAAAAGATACTAAAGAGTCAAAAAAAAAAGTTTTCAGATTTTAACTCTAAAATTGTGTTCACTATTCTACTTTAAAAACATCCATCTTCTATCACCGTGAAATTATTGTTATTATAGCAGCAAGTTGTTATTTCTGCCAAGATTAAAAACAAAACAAAACCTTGAAGCTTCAGATTGCCTGTCTTCTTGGGTGTTATGGTGATTTCCTGTTGAGAACCTGGTGAGCTTGCACAATTAATTTATAAGAAGGTCCTTAGGTTCATGGTGAAGCCCCTGGGTAGTGTAAACAGCATGACTGTCGGCTACCCAAGAGGTTGGTGGTTTGAACCCATCCCGAGGTATCTCAGAAAAAAGATCCGGTGACCTTTCTAATCAGCCATTGAAAATCCTATGGAGCAGAGTTCCTCTGACACACATGGGGTCATAGTGAGTCAGAATCAATTAGAAGAAGACCGCTGATTCACTGCTAGGTTCATTGTTTGGGGCAAGTACTCTGTCAATTCCTTCCCAGTTAGCTTTTCTCACCTGCAATATTGGCTCTTGTCCACTAGGTGTCACCCTCTTGCCAACGTCGGAAAGCTGCCTCCTTTCAGAACCTCCACTCTCTGCTGAGCAACAAGGTGGACCGTTCCAGCCTCTACTTGGTAGGGGAGCCAGGGGACCACAGCGCAACTGGCAGGTATGAGTGGGCACAAGTGGTTTGGGGATAAATTCAGAGAGAAGCCAGTGGAACTACTGGTATAAGTTTCACTCCTTCCTGCTTCCGCAGCACTGTCCTGAGTGGGCTTCCTTTAAGAAAAAGCATTGAACAATTTGTATGGAAATTATGAAATGGGAACCTAACTTGCTGTGTCAATTTTCAACACAATAAAACATTATTCTAAAAAAAGAGGACACAAGACCGATGACCAGTGTTTCCCTCTGAGAAGTCAGAGAGAGAAAGCACAGGTGTCGGGGGACAGGACCTGGAGAAGACATGAGCTTGCTACAGTGGGTGTGACTCCACTGTCCCTCTGAAGTCTGGTGACATTGTGAAATAGGAATGTTCAGAGAACCTCCTTAGCCCAACTACAAGTCCTGTTAAAGACCCACAGACAGGGCTGTTTGAAAGAGGCCTTCTCTGTGATGTTCCGAGAGAAATCCCAACTTCTTCATTAGCTGGGTTCCATGGGTAGACCATTAACTCCTAGAAATTTTATATAAACTGATCAATTTCATCAGATTCTCAGAGGGATCTCTGCACCACAAAAGGTTTAAAGAAAACCTTTCTCTTGGAGGGCTTTCTGGTTCAGCAGCAACCTTGGGAAGCTACAAGCACTGGGCTGATGTTGGCTAGAACCAGACTTTTGTTGGTTGAGGTCATGGAGCCCAGCTTCCAGCACTACACTCAGAAACATAGAAGCATGAGGTGCTGCTAAGCAAGGGAGAATTTGGGCGCCGGATCCCTGCCCTCTGCCTTCATGCCGTGTCTGGTCAATCCCTCACAGGTCAGCCAAGTCCCAGCCCCGGCGTGCCCTCAGCGTGGAGGATGTGGGTGCCCCCAGCCTGGCCCGCACTGTAGGCCGTGTGGTGGAGGTGTTTCCGGATGGCACGAGCCAGTTGCAGCTAAGGAGGTCACCGGAGGGCACTTTTGGCTTCTGTGTGGCCTCTGGGAATGGGCGCCGGGACTCAGGTATGCCCCCTTCCCTCCTGAGCCCCCCATCCCTGGGGCCTTAGTAGACCACAAGCCATGCCAGGAACTTGTGATCTGAGACTTTTTCTGGCCCTTGGCTCAGTCAGGGAGCTCTGGATTCAGAGGGCTCTGTGCATGCAGGCCCAAGAAGACGTGGGCTTGCTAGAGTGGGCAAAATGGACAGGTTGCATCTACTGTCCTTCTGATGTCGATGATATCTTGAAATCGGAATCTTGAAGTCCTTCTTTTCAGAGGAGAGCCAGAAAAAAACTGTTTGTGCTTGCTGGCTCTCATGATCTCTTTGATGTGGTTGCTGATGTTTAAATTGTTCCCTTCCTGCAGCTATTGATACGTCTGAGCATGTGGAGTGTGGCTGTCTGTCTGTGTGTCCTTGGATCTAAAGGTTATGTTCAGATGAGTCCTGGTCTGCGCCCCTGGCTGGGTTGCTCACTGGGTCAGTGAGAAACCCAGAGCTGGCATTCTGCACTCTGGCCAATGTTCTATCCTGTCCAGGACAGTGGATTGGTGCTAAGAGGAGCAAGTCTTTCAAGGCAAAGTGGCTTGTCCAGGCTTGTTCAGGGGCTGTGGGCAGAATCCTGCAAGGCATTTCCCAGATAAGATGAGTAGAAAAGACAGGTGTGCTGGAGATGGAGGAGGGGAGAGGAAGGAAGAAAAAGGAAAGACCACAAACGCAGAAAGACACACATAGGCCAATTTCAGGCCAGGCTCTCCAGCAAGGTCGGTCCTGAGCTTTTTCGAAGTGATTGAGCCTGTGAGTAAAGCTGCCTACTGTAGTCAAATTTGTAGACCACTGCATGAGTTCTTTTATCTCTTCTACCTGGTGTGGCCTTATAAGATAAGCACTGGACTGCTTACCATCAGGTTAGCGTTCAAACTCACCAGTTGCTCCTCAGAAACTCTATACAGGGTCACTGTTAGTCAGAATCCACTGAATGGTACTTAATTATTCCGTACTAAAGTTGATCGTCAAAACTACCAGCCATTCCACGGGAGAAAGATGAGGCTTTCTGCTCCCATAAAGATTTAAAACTTTGGAAACCCTATACAGGGTCGCTGAGTCGGAACAGACTCCACGACACAGAACCAAGCCACCAAAAGATGGGGCATGTAGACTTTTATATATTAAATATTATATAGCAACCCTGTATAGGGTTTCTGAGGAGTGACTGGTGAGTTTGAACCACCGACCTTGTGGTTAACAGTCCAGTGCTTATCCCACAGAGCCACCAGGGCTCCTTTGTTGTTGTTGCTGCTGTTAAGTGCTGTTGAGTCTGTTCTGACTCATAGCAACCCTGTAGAGGGCTTCCAATGAATTTGAACCATCAACCCTGTGGTTCAAACCAACCTTTCAGTCTTATCCTACAGCATCACACCTAGGCTTCTCAGATAGGGAAAATACTAAGAAAAAAATAAACGTAAGCATGGTCAGGGCCCAGCTAGTGTCTGTACAAAGGGTTTATTGTAGATGGGACAGTGAGGGCTGCTCTGAGGGAATGCATTGTGGGAATCTGGTGGAAAGGCTTTGTAGGCAGAGGAGACAGAGTGCAAAGGCCCTAAAGCATGGCCATTAGAAGAACTGAGAGGAGGTCAGCTTGTGTTGAGCAGAGAGCTCCGGCTGGGGGAGAGGAGAGCTGGGCTCCTGGAGGCCCCGTTTCCAGGTGAAGTCTTGGGCTGAGAGAGGCTGAGCTAGAGGACTGATAAGCTACATTTCACAGTTTCAACAGCCTCACTTCACTGGATGCTGTGTTGGGAATAAAGTCCAGTGGGACAAAGGTAGAAGGAACCAGGGAGACTTTTTTTAAAGCTATTTCAGGAGTGCAAGGGTGGAGACAAAGGGGCTTGGACTGGGAGTGGCTATGGAGGTGGTAAGAGGTGAATGGATTCTGGATGTATCTTGAGGGTCATTCTGATGCAGCTTGCCAATGGGTTAGACAGGAGCGGGAGAGAAAGAGAAGATAAGCCTCTCTCCTTCTGGACCTCTGGCAGGGAGATTTCACCATATTGGTTGCAAATCGGGCTGTGAACTGCAAGGTCAGCAGTTGGAAACTACCAGCTGTTCCACAGGAGAAAGATGAGGCTTTCTGCTCCCATAAAGATTTATAGCCTTGGAAACCCTGTACAGGATCGCTATGAGTCAGAACCGACTCCACGGCACATAACCAACCAACCAACCAACAAATCATCATAAAGCTTTCAGCAGCTCCACTGTGAGTTGCTCTACCTCTTCCTGTAGCTTCCTTTCTCCTTAAAGAAACCAAAACTGTTGCCAACATATTGATTCTGACTTATGGCAACCCAGAAATCAGTGGCTGATTTTTCAGAAGTAGATACTCAGGCCTTTCTTAGGGTGGGCTTGAACCTCTGCCTCTCAGGTAACAGTCGAGCATGTCGTTAACAGTTGACACCACCCAGGACACCTTGTTGTTGTGGTTGTTACGTGCCATCGAGTTGATACGGACTCATAGCGACCTCTTGCAAAACAGAACAAAACACTACCCAGTCCTGTGCCAACCTCACATTCGTTGCTATGCTTGAACCCATTGCTGCTGCCGCTGTGCCAGTTCATCTCGTTGGGAGTCTTCCTCTTTTTCTCTGACCCTCTACTTTATCAAGCATAATGTCCTATTAGGACTGGTCCTTCCTAATAATATGTCCAAAGTATGAGAAATGAAGTCTGGCCATCCTGGCTTCCAAGGAGCATTCTAGCTGTATTCCTTCAAACACAGAGTTTTTTTCTTTTAGCAGTCCATGGTACTTTTAATATTCTCCTCCAATGTCATAGCTCAAATGTATCAATTTTTCTACGATCTTCCTTATATACTGTCTAGCTTTCGCACACATGAGGTTATTGAAAATACCATGGCTTGGGTCAGGCGCACCTTAGTCCTCAAGCTGACATCTTTGCTCTTCAACAGTTTAAAGATGTCTTATGTGGCAGATTTGCCTAATGCAATACATCATTTAATTTCTTGACTGCTGCTTCCATGAGTGTTGATGGTTGATCTGAGCAAAATGAAGTCTTTGACACCTTCAATCTTTTCTCCATTTATTTTGAAGTTATTTATTGGTCTAGTGGTGAGGATTTTTGTTTTCTTTACATTGAGTAGCAACACATACCAAAGGCTGTGGTCTTTGATCTTCATCAGTAAGTATTTTAAGGCCCCTTCACATTCAGCAACCAAGATTGTATCATCTGCATATTGCAGGTTGTTAATGAGTTTTCCTCCAACCCTGATGCCATGTTTTTCTTCATATAATCCATCTTCTCAATTTATGTGCTCAGCATACAGATTGAGTAAGTATGGTGAAAGAGTAATTCCTTAGGTGAGGACAAACTGGTTCTTCTTGATAGTGTGAAGTCATAGAGTTAGACAACTTAATATGGTCTGTATCCCAGTGACTCTGCTGGTTGGCTGTGTGAATTTACACAGATTAATTATCCTCTCTGAGCCTTAATTCTCTAATCATCAAAATGAAGCTAACTAAATCTAATTGGGATTATTCAATGTGGTACATATAAAAGTGCCTAGCACTTTTCTTCCTTTCTTTCTTCAAAAAAGAGAGTGGAGTGTGTATTTGGGGAGCAGAAAACCCTAGGTGGGAACTAGTTGGTCTGCATTCATCTGTTGATGAATATAACCTATTAATTATACAGGACATTGTCTATGTTCCCCATCCTTCTCAACAGTCCATTCGGGGCCCTCACCATCACCTCTCACGGAGTCCTGGGGGCAGGGTTCTCCCATGGCCAGGCTCCATCCTGACCCCCTTCTAGGCTGGTGAGCTCTCCTCCCTGCCCTGCCCAGGTCGTGCTCTGCTCCTGCTGCTGCTACAGTTGGCTGTTGGATGTCCCATGGGTCTCTTCCCACACACAAGGAGCATGGCAAGTGGTGGTGCCTCCTTGCCACAGGCTGCCCCACAGCAACTGAGGGTCCCTTCTGGGCCTCAGCCGGACAGTGAGCTAGGGCCGGTGTGCTCTGGCCACTGAAATGTCAAGATGCTCGTTCACTTGCTGGGTATCGTGTCTGATTCTGTACAAGTAATTGGATGCAATGTAGAGATCTACATCCGTAACGAAGGCTGTTGGCCTCAGACAATAAATGCCTACAATTGCACTCTTGCTGTCGTATTTTTGTCATGGCTTAGTTGCAAAACCCACCCTAGTTGTTGTTGTTGTTAAGTGCCGTTGAGTCAGTTCCGACCCATAGTGACCCTTTATAGGGTTTCCAAGGAGCAGCTGGTGAGCTTGAACCATTGACCTTGTGGTTCAGCGCATTAACCGACAGTGCCACACCAGGACTCCTCCAAATAGCTGAGGGCCCTCACTGCCTGGTGTGGCTCTGGCTGCAGCCTTGTGCTTCTCATCATCACACCCCGCCCATGTTCCTTGCTTTGCATCAGACACTGCTCCAGGCTCAGCCTGCCCTGTCCTTATGCCCTCATGTCCTCAGACAGAGCAAGCAAGCAGTGAAAAGAGATAGCCGAGGGCAGACATACCAGGTTGTCAGTGGGAGACCCAACCTTGCAGAAAAGGCTCACAGTGGTCAAGAGCCAACAGCAGGGGCTCCACGTCCCTGACCTGAGAGAAGGGGAATGTACCAAGACTGGATTTGTAAACTCACAGCTAAAATCCTTCCTGTTCCTGAGTGGAGACAGAGGAGAGGTCTCTGTGCACTCTCCAGGGGGATAGAAGAAAAACAAATGGGGTTGATTCTGACTCATGGTGCCCCCCTGTGTGTCAGAGTAAAACTCTGCCCCTTAGGGTTTTCAATGGCCAATTGTTCAGAAGTAGCTTGCCAGGCCTTTCTTCCTGCAGACCTCAGGATGGACTTGAACCTCCAGCTTTTCAGTTAGCCTCACATTAACCATTTACACCACCCAGGGACTCCACAGGAACCAGAAGCTGGGTTTAACAAAGTTCCTGTGGGGCTGTATGGAGTTTAAAGAGAGGAGGCAGGCCAGACAGATGACTTCCCAGTAGATGAGTCTCCTGCCAGTGAGTCCTTCCTGATAGCGGCCCTGT